TTGTTGAATTTCATTGAATAAATTATTGTTTGATTTTTACTAAATACTGTATAGAATTTATTACTAGAAGTTTAATTAAATATTTGATTTTGTTATTGACAAACTTTGTCATTATTTAATTCGGTGCACGCTTAAAGTCCAGGCCTGGCACACTAACGCGAATCCGCGTAAAGTACCCGTTAGGGAACGGCTATTTCCGGCACACAGTAGTGTCGATAATCGTTGGAAAGTCGGAAAAATAATATAGTACTTTACATCATAAGCTTAATTCCAACAATAAGACAGAAGTTTAATAACATTAATATGTATAACAAGTAAAACGGCAAGACCGTATTTGGGACAAGACTATGTCCCAGAGACAGAATCACTTTGATGCTCAAGGCAGGTCTCATTCTCATTCTCCTATCTTCTTTGATATCACTGCTTTTGGGCACGATCATTCAAACTTTGCCAACCACGATGCATTAATTTCGATGAAATTAACCTATCCAATTTCGAAATTTCTCTCCGTTGCGTGTCGGCCTGGGTTGAATTTTTGTCGCTGCGTAACAAAAATTCCCGTTTTTGAAAAAATAATCCTGGCTATTGTATCGTCCGAAATTATTATTTTTATTTTGTGCAAACAATATACAGTTTAATCCGATTATAATGTCATCAAATGTAATAACAATCCTAATATAACGTCAAATTTTTATTGGTCCTATGATTTTACTATACTAGATAATGTTAAAAAAAGCCTACTTGTAACAACATAAAACCGTTTTAACATCATATTTGAAGTACTCCCAAATTTACAAAATTAGATTACAAATTTTATTTAACATAGAAGAAACTACGTGTTCAGTCCTAAGGTCAGAGTTCACTTCTTAGAATGACTGTGGGTGGTACTCTCCCCTACCTGACTTCAGTGGGGTGAGTTGGCTGTTTTGCCCGTTTGTAGAAGAGGGTTGCCTTTTTGCATTTTATTTTGACTCGATTCTCGGTCCCCTGACTACCTACGAGTCTGGATTTTTTTATGCGCAAATGATTTGGGCACCTAATACTCTGTGCCAAATATCAACTCTCGACATGTACTCTTTCATATCTCTATGCTGGTAAGAACAGGTGGCAGTACGATTTTATAAACAAGACATAGTCTTGTCAACAACAAATGATGATTGACAACGTAACCAGATTAAACTTTTCTGACAGATAAAGAATATTGTTCACAATCTTATAACCTGACCTCTTCCTTTATTCCTATTTTAAGACAGTCTTTATTTGCCACCTACAGCCAAAATTCTTTGTCTGAAAGATTATTTGAACCGATTCTTTGTTTTAAAACATTTTGTACATAATTAATTCTTTCAGAATATTACATTTTGTTCATAATTAATTCTTTCAGAAAGTAGAACATTGCATTTTCGTAAGGTTGGTTATGGATGACAGCATCCATTATTCAGAGGTAAATATAACAGATGTCGTATTTGAAGGGTCTGGGGATTGTATCATGTCCGTTAAGTAGAGGTGTCCATATTTGGAAGTATCCATTAATGGAGGTTCCACTGTATATGAATTACATACTTATTAAGAATTTATTAAAACATTAGTAAAATTAAACAACAGCTACATACAGAATGTCAAACTGAAAACAGGCTTTTAATATAATTAAATAGTCTGTACTAAAATTTTACCTTCCGTTGTTAAAAAGAAATTAATTTTAATTGATTTACCTGTAAAGAATCTTGTTTTTCTGGAAAATATTCTGTTTCTGTTAATATCAGATCTAATTCTGTTAACCACATTAACAATTTTTCATGTAATGCTTGAAATTCCTCCCAAAGTTGTAGGGTGTATGACAGGCGACATATAATAATATTAATTCTTTTGTTGAGTTCCGACCAACATGAATTTACAGAGTTCACTCTATTAGATAATGTATTAGCTTTATCTAAACAACCTTCTTGCTCCAGTTCTTCATACTGTTTGTTGATATTTTCCAAAAGTTCAAAAATCGAGTGAACAGACTGATAGAGTAGCTGGAAACAAAACAGAATTTGTTAATTTCTAATTTGGCAAATACACTAAATTCAGTTATTATTAATATTACTTCATATTTTTTTAATTCTTCACAGATTTCGTCTCTCGTATAAATAGTAGCACAAGTTTTCGGCATTTCGATCTGCTTTTTGTAGTCGGAAAGTAATAATTCGATTTCGTCCAAATCAATCATGATCTTCTTCCACTGGTTCCACGTCTCTTCAATTCTACCAATTAAAAATACAAAATTAACAAACGAGTTTGGATGTTTAAATGATAACTCAAAACTAAAAAATGACAGGAAAAATACCGAGATTTATGCTCTGCAGGAACAGTGCCGAGTTCTTTCCATCTTCGTTTGTAAGACTCTATAGATCTTTGAATGGCATCTCTTTCTACTGGATTGACTATTGCATCATTATCGTGCATTAACATCTCGCACATACTCATTATTGTTCGAAGAACTCTGTACTGATTTTCTATTTCTTCTTCATACTCCTATAGAGAGAAAAAGTTATTATTAATAATAAATTCTTGATAACAAAAACCTTTCAACGATAAAATCATACTTTTCTTTAAAAGAAGATGAAGTATTAATATTTTTTGTGTAATAGCTAGTTAAAATCATTATTCAGAATCATAAACATAAGAAAGAATAAAAACAATCCTTTAATTACAATTAAAAGAACAATTAGAAAATATTTAATGAATGCTGTAATTATCAATTTTATTTATTTAAACATTATTACTACATATATGCGATTGAAGTAATTAAGGTTTAATATGATCAGTGTTGTATTACAGATAATACAAACTTACAAACACCAAGTATTGTATATATATGTAGTTGAAATATCTGATTTGTGTTAAACACACATTACCGAAGAGGGGTTATGAAATATTAAGATAAGCCGAAGTGCATCTAATAGTTTATAATAAAGCACATAAGCAGAGAAAATAAAGGTTAAATATTCTAAAGTTGTGGCTTACTGATTCACCGAAAGAGCCATTAACAACCTTACCAACAGGATTATGGGGGAAAAACCATTTCAATATTTGATCTTTTATGTAGCAGGATTAAGAAGTGAAATAGAAAAATTGTTTATAATTTGTTATTTCTTATTCTCTCAATGATTAAATTTTTAGCAATGTTTTTGTACAGCAGAAATTTTAAGGTCAATGTTGATGTGTTTAGTATTAGCAAAGAGCATATTTTTATGACTAACATATACAATTAGTAAATGTTTATGTAAATATACTATAAAAGTTAATACCTCCATTTTCTCTATTTGTTTTGTTATTTCAGAATATGTGAAATTTTCATAAATGACAGGTGCAAAGAGCTGATGTTCTTTTCCTTCTAGCCACTCGTTGAATTCAAACATTTTCTGTTGAAGTTGTTTTGATTCTTCCAATAAACTTATTAATTTATCCAATCTTTTTAAAATAAAAAAAAATAATTTAAGTGATAATTTGACAGGTGTGTGTATATATATAAGTTTATACAAAAATTCAAACCTGCGTGTTCTAAACATAATCAATTTCTTCCAAGCAATTTGTACTTCTTCTAAATCTTCTTGAACCAAGAACTCTTTTTCACCTCCTGCTGCTATCAATCTCTCTCCAAATTTAACAAGATCATCATATTCTTGAGTTTTTTGTTCTATTTCTAAATAATGAGTCTACAGAAAATAAATGTGTTAAAATAAATTTAGTATTTATTAACATAACACCTTTCTCCCTCTTCCAACAAGAAAATTTCTTCATTAAAATGTTTACAGCCTCTTTCAGGACCTGCTCCAGGTTTTAACCATTACAAATCAAACATCTGCTGAGATTTTAAATTGGAACTTTCTAACAATTTTTTTCTTTTGACGTCATCATGCTTTAAATAATATTGATAAGTATGTACTTCTGAAGTAAATATAAAAATATAATTATTTATACCTTATTTGATTGGCATTTTTTACATAAAGGTGGAAGAGTGAAAAAGATATTGTATAATTCAATATTTATTAATTTTGACTATACACTACATACACTTATTATGACTACATTAAAAAATAAAGGGTTTTATTATATATATATATATATATTACTAAAAATAGCTTTCTGTTTCTCCAAGTGAGTCCAAGGACTTACTGGTCCAACTACGTTAGTAGTTATTTATCTCTCTTATTCATAAATAGTATGAGGAACATGCAAAATAATTAATACAAGTGCACTAATTCAACGAAAGGCAACAGTTTCCTCTATATTTATTCAGTAATAGATGACTTGTTTCTCAGTAGTGTCTGGTAAAGGATATGCATTGACTATGTTGGTTGCCATTTTGAACAAATGGAACAACACATGATGAAATTCCAAGTTATACAATGCATTAAACTAACAAAAATTCATAGACAACTCAAGTATAGTTTGGTGATGAGACAACCAGCCATAGTAAACCATTTGAATGATGCAAATGATTTAATGAAGACCACGCTTCTATATGTGGTGGTTCAATGTCACTATCTAGGATCATCCCATAAATTGTCCCATTCAACAGTCAATGTGTAAAGCTTCTGATTCTTGATCATTGATGGATAACAATCTGTGGAGTTAGATCAGTGTTTCTCAACCTCTAACGAATCGTCGCCCCCTTTAACGTAGTATCACCCCCTTCACTACAAAATTCCGATGCCGAGGGACAAGGATAACACCAAATTCGTACTGCATTGAATAGACTAGTGACTAGTATAATGTTGTTTGTTTAATTATTGTATGATATAACGAATAAAATATCTAATTATTCTTAATATAATGTTTTACTATATTGCCCAGAAAATTGTTTTTTGCCCCCTGAACATGGAAAAATGCACACATGGGGGCGATATCGCCCCGTTGAGAAACACTGAGTTAGATTAATCTTTTTTTCCGGCACTGAAAACACAATCATTAGTTATCATCACACTTCCAAAGGTAAGCATGTGTTAGCTCCTAAGATGACTTTTACTTTGACCAGGATAGGCAAATGTAAGTGTGCATTTCTTTGAAAGAATGTTTTGACAAAGAAGTAAAAATTTATATACTCACATACAATGCTAAATATAGTATAAGGAAGAGAATGTACTGTCTTTTGGCATTAAATTTATTTACTTGATCAGTTAAATACATGCAAGTACTTTAAACATTTTGAAATGTCAAAAATATTTGCATGTATTTAACTGATCAAGTAAATAAATTTAATGCCAAAAGCAGTACATTTTCTTCTTTATATTTGACAAAGAAGGCTGGGATTTCCTGTGCAGGTTCCACCACTTGTGCTGGAACCTGCACAAAATAATATGTGCTGAAAACAAAACAAGCAAGCAGGCAGGCAGGGTTTCTTCCACCTAAAAAATTCCAAGAAACTGTGTTTTGTGACAGAAATAGAATTATCTATATCAATTTTTCCTATTTCATGGTGCCACCCTTAACAAGGTCTACTACTGCCAACTGCTGAAAGATATGCATAATGCTCTGTTAAAGAGAGATCCTGGATTGATTACCACAGATATACTTCTTTTGCATGCAAATGCATGACCCACACTTTCCATGTTGCGATGTCTCCCAGCCAAATTCCTGTAACTTGGAGGAATTTGGCTGAGAAATATTGTCACATGGTCCTTACAAGTTGGATCCCTCTCCCAGTGATTACTACCTGTTTGGCCCATTAAAGGTTTACTTGGAAGGCGAGTGTTTTAGCAGCAATGAGCAGATGCAACAAGCAGCCAAATCAGTACTCCACTGTAATGATAAATCTTTCTGTTCTAATGGAGTCTAGTCATTTATGAAGTGTTAGAAGTGCATATATGTAGCTGGAGATAGGAATGGAAATAAATTTATTTCTCAATACAGTTAGTGCTCTGTTATTCTGTGTACTAATAACTCGCAGTACTAACTTGGACATTATCTATTATGATTGGTTTACTAAATCCTAAAAGTATCAGTATCCTAACTCTCCTCAATAACCATTACATTTAAATAGGAAAAACAGGAACTGCACATCAATTAACATGCTAATAATGCTGTTAGAATTTTAGTACCCCATCACTATATTAATTTAATGCTATACTATTACTAGTTCACTATATTTTACAGTTTTAAATTATGTGAGTTATATTGTCATCAAGATTCTCACAGCTGATGATTCTAGAATTTAATCCTTTATGTAAAGTCTTTTGTGCCTGCATATATTTGTCTTTTAGATTTAAAATTTGATACAATGATTATTATAAATGAAAAATATGCACTGGTGTGCAAAACTTAGTAATGATTGGTTTTTGCTGTAACTCCACAAAAAAATCACCTGGGAATCATTCTACCACATGTAAAGTCTACCAGATGAGTTCTTCTAGCTGTATGAACTCGCTTAAATTTGCAGCAAATGTCTTTAATTAATAGCACCTTTTGTCCTTCTTTTTATTGTAGTTTTGCATTGTGCATGCTGACTGAATAAATTTTGCGTGCCCTCATGTCACCTGTGATGCTGTCTTCATGATATTTGCACCTTTCCATGAATCGAGTCACCTTTCTACTGATCACAACAAGCCCTTTTCTACAATTTCATGGCTTAAAAATTACATCGTTGCTTAAGTGTATTTTTCTTGGAAACTGTTTATAATAGTTTCTAATGATATTTCTAAATACTTTAGATATTAGGAAGTTTTTTTTATTCATATTGTTTATTTTACAAAATTTCAAATTAAAAGGTTTGCAAGTATTTAAAGTATTTTATATATAAACAATGCATGAATGTATTTCTAATGTATTCTACATGTATAAACAAATTAGAATTACTTACTTTTTCTAACTTCTGGCATGCATCATCAAGACAGTAATCACCTCGCTGACTTAGTACTTTTTCCAAGTTTAATATCCATTCAAGAAGATTGGCACAGTTTGTATGAAATTTTGGCCATTCCTGAAGACTTTTGTCAATGATGTTGATATGATTAATTAACTTATAATAAATAGTTTTCAGATTTTCTCTAAATGTTATAACATTATTCCTAATTTGAAGAATTTCTGAAGAAGAAAACTTTTCATTTAAAACGACTATAGTATTTTCTAGTTCTTCTATGCTGCTTTCCGAATCTTGCAGCTTTTTCTTATAAATCTAAAAATAAAAATCAAATTAATATTAATTAGAAAGTTTCATTGTTTTTTGTTATCATCTGTTCATTAAGTAATATGGCATTTTAATAAGTTAGAACATTTCAAAATTTATAATAAATATAAATACCATGATGTAGTATAAAATATATACCTTGAGCTGTTCAAGTTGATATAAAAGATCATCGTATAATGATGGAATTTTTTCTTCGAGTAAATTTTCAATTTGTTCAAGTAACTGTTTAATGTCAGTCATCTTGGCCTGAAATTTATTCCATTCCGTGTCCAAGTTATTCAGTTGTATTTTTTGTGCCGAGAACAAGTTCCAGAGTTCATCCATTCTTTCTCTGATATTAATTTTTTCTTTATGAATAATCTCCACCGATTCAGAATTTATGTGCGGAATAAGGATTAAATATGAAGAATGGAGTTCTTGGAAGCTGTTTTCCCAATGACTTTTTTGTTCAAGTATGCTCTATAAAATTAAAATAAAGACATGTAAAAAATATCTAAAATTTTAAAATATAAAAAAGAAAAGAAGAAAACCTTACATTGATATAAATAATTCCATTTTTTACTTCTTCTATGGTGAATAAACAATTCTTTTTGAATTTCAGACTTTGTAATTCGGTCTCATTTAACCGAGACTGTATTTCATATAATTTTCTTATATAATTTTGCCAAAGGGAGATGATGTAAAGGATCGTATTCTTTTTCTTTGTAAGAATGTCATTAATAAAAAACCATTGTTCTTGTAATTTGTACAGTTGTTCAAGGAACTTCTCTGCATTTTCTTCATTCATTCTAGAACTTAGTTCGAGACCTTCTTGCATGAAAGACAAAAGCACTCCTTGTTGAGCAGAGGTGATGATATCTAAGACCTATAAAAGGAAATAAAATTATTATTAGTACATAATCATTAGAATAGACATGTAGAATATACATTTACAATATTTTTCTAAGAGATCTCTATATAATAATTAACAGAAATTTAAAAACATATATAAAACATTCAAGTTATTTGACTTATCTTAAGGAATGCAAACAGTGTTTGAAAGTAAATTATGTTGATTTTTACATTAGAAAAAGTAAAGTTAAAAAAAACCGCTGTTATGATTACAGTTATGTGTTTAAGATGTTTGTGTAATCAATTATGATATTAACATTTTTGAGTTAACTGATCATAAAACCCAATTTAATTTTTATTTCCAGAAAGAAGGTAGTAAAATATAAAGTCACCAAGACTTATGATAAAAGTCTTGGTGACTTTATATTTTACTACCTTCAAAAATCCAGATGATCTTGGCTTTACTTTTTCTGCAATATTTAATAAATCTAATAGTTTGACATTATTTCAAGAACGGCCAAATTACATTTTTATGTAGGAAAAGTTTATTTTGGAACATTTTGTTTGATTCTGAAAGAAGTCAAATAACTTAAAAGCACTTTAATTATTAATGATGCACTCAGAACCAATTATGATGTGATAACGAAAACAATGAAAAAACAAACGTTTTTGAACCCCATCTGGGCTCTGCATCATGTTCTTAACTGTTCCTAGATGGTTATTCATTTATGGAATGACGTTTAAACAAGAGTTCGATTATAAGTTAAAAAAAATTTTACAAAAAAGCCATGTTGCACATGCACAACAGGTCGGCCTGCCTGGACACAAGGAGCTGCTAGAGCAAGTTGTGAATCAGCTCTTGCCAGGCCAATGAGAAAACCATCTCCTCTTTAAAATTTATGCATGTATCTGTGAGGCTGGATTTGAAAATGTGGATAGCCTCTAATCATTTGAGGTGTTCAGTGGGAGGCACGGTGAGGATGAGATTAGCCCGTGAAAAGTTGGCTACTATATCTGGATCTGTTACATAAGTAGCGAGGGCCATGGAGGTTCTCACATGACGAATATATGCCTGATGTTCTTGTATTCTGATGCCCATGGAATGTTTAGTAGAGCCTATATATATCAGGTCTCTATCACATTTATTATCCCTTATAGGGACACTATAATTCCATAGAGTCTGCTCGGGTTAGGAGGGTCCTTCACATTATGTAGGATTTTTTTTTGTTGTTTTCATTATCACACCATACAGTAATTGGTTCCGAGTGCATCATTATCATCAATTTGGTGTGGTGAGTGGTTATTTACTTCAATTATTTTTAATTTATATCTCTGTTAAAGCTAATTTTATGTATGCTTGAATTTATGGAGTTATGAATTACACATATATAAATAATTTCAATTTATTTTAAAATTTAAAAGAAAATAAAATGAAATTAACAGTACAGACAATGTGAAGTATAGTGTACTGTACCTTGATTTATAAGCATCTCTTGTTCCTAAACAATCTAAGAATAAATATGCATGTCCCTATTTATTTATTATGGCCAAAATTTGTATCTCATTCTAGCATAACTGAGTCACCCTATCTATGTTCCCTAAATAACATTGAAGTGTTGTAAAACACCTACTTACCTATCAATGAAGTTTCTAATTGAGAGGAAATGATATTGTTAATTACATTATTTTATTATTTGCTGAAGTAAAAGGAATAAATATGACATAAGCAAACATGGTATTTTATCAGACATTTCTTTGTTTAACAATAAGAAAGCAAGTAAAATAAAATGAAGTTTTAATTAATAAAATTGTAATCATTGATAGAAGGGTTTATAATGTAGAGATACAGCTGTGCAGTTTACTTTAATAAGCTTTTTTACAGTGAATCACATCATCTCTCTAACAAATACAGTGTACAAGAAACAAAAATAAATAAAGACTGGAACTTAGGATCCATCTGATCAGAGCATACAGAAATTTCGATCTCATCAATTCGCGAGTAGAATATTTTGTTCTCGTAATTATTGGTCGGTGCTCTTTGTTTTGAATATTTCATATTGTAAATTAGGAAGAAAGATAAAATGAAGCAGTCCATTGTATGGAATTCTCATATATCAAGTGCTCATAAAGTGGAGTCACACTATACATCAATCCGAGTATTACAGCAAATGGTATTAATGTAGTTGTTAAAGCCAGGAATAACACCTGTATCTGTTGAGTCACATTCTGGAAACAATCTATGAATGCTACTGTTATTAAAACTTTGCCAAATTCCTCTACACTTAAGTTAAATCTTGATTTAAATGTGTCAAAAAGTAAAATTAAATTTTCCTTCAAATTTTATTGTTTTTGTATGGTCCAAGAAAAATAGCTTAAAGTTATTTATGTTTTTAAAGGTACAACTTTGTGATTGTTTTTAATTTTATTACCGAAAGATATTACTTATCATAGACAAATTTAGGTAAGAATACTAATTAGATGTTCAGATGGTCAAGGCAGTGAAAGCATCATCCAGTAGTGTAACTAAGCTTATTTGGTTTTTAGGAAAGAAATTATTTTGGGCTCCTAATTTTTAATTAGTTAATTCAACATTTTTTGAGATTATATTTATAAATAACATAAATATGCATTTTATTTATGGCATTTAAAAACATGAAAAGTAATATTATGATGTACTACATTATTAAATACAATTTAATAAATAAAAAATTATAATAACAGTAATAATTTATGGAACAAGTTAAAATGTTACTTTCCATCTTTTACATTTTCTAAATTATTAATTATATCTTTTAAATCTATTTAATTGGCATATTTATGCTCAGTATTGCAAGATTGCAGCTACTTTGACCAACGGTATGTTTTTATAGTTGATTTTAGTTTCCATCAAAGCTTTTATATCATCTCCCATAACAAACTTTAACAGCTGTTAAAGTTTGTTAGATTGTATATGCTGGCTGATCTGGTTGATTAGAGTTGAGTTTTTTTAATATAAATTCAGGAAAAAAATCCCATTTTTTTCTACAATTTTTAAAAATTACATAAATTGTTTTAATATATTTTTTAATTTCTTAAATAAATAAATGATTATATATTCAAAAAAATAATTATAAAAACATGGTTAAATTAGAAAAAGTTCAAAGTTAAAAAACTTACTTACAACTTTGTCAAGTTTATTTTTTAAAATAAAACCAATAAGCAAAGTTATCTTGGATATAAAAATTATTTTATTATTAATTAATTAATTATTTTACAATTGTTTTTATTAAAAGTAAATTTTATTAATAATTCTTAATTTTCATTAAAATAAAATTATTATTGTTTTTTACTGATTATCATCAAAAGAAAATTTCAAACTTACTTGCATATTGCAATATTCTTTAAGTACATTTTCATAACTCGATGGTATTTCGTTACGTAGGTGAGATCTGAGTTCATGAAGAAACAATAGCAGCGAATGACACTTTCTAATAAAATCCTGTCTTTGCAGCCATTGATTTTGAATTAAGCTGTACTTTTTGACTATATTTATGCGAAATCTTTTCCATCTTAGTAAAACATTTAAAACATCCTGGCATGTTTCAGAGTGAGAGAGATTATTCTGTATTAATTTTTCGCTTAATGTAAAAATGGAGACTTCGTGTTGTGGAATCTGATTCATATGGAACTAAATTGAAGTAAAAAACATAAATATAACTTAAAATCTTATTATAGAATAAAATTTATTACATACTAGCTGCAAGGACCCGCTTCGCTGGGTTTTTATTTGTGGGCAAAAAGTAACGATAGTGAAAATTAAGATAATTACATTATAGCCAATCTTANTTAATATAAATATTAGAATGGAAAGAATTATTAATTTATAGTATTTACAGTTATAATTATTGATATTTGAATTACATAAACTTATTAATTTAGCTGCAAGTTTCAAATTGCAGTCCTATAAATTCCCATTGTTGTCCATCTCTCCTTTGTTGGTGTTGAGAACAGAGTTAGATAGATGAAAATTGAGATCCGATATGGAAAACTTGGGCTGGAGGGCCCAATTAATATAGTTAATTGGGGCCTCCAGCCTGAACTCCTATGAACTTCTGGTCTGAACTGGAAGCACGTGACTTTCATTTACAATTTTTACTTTACAATACGGAGCAATAAAGTTGGTATAGAATTGATCCTTATGATGAACTGAGATCTATAACATATCACTTGACTTGATAAGATGTACAATATTCGTGTGATTTCACATTTCAAAAATTTAAATAATTTATATTTTTAATTAAAATATGATTAAAAGTTGAGGCTTAGTTTTGCGACAATGCCACAATAATCATTTTTCTTTTTTTGTTAAAAATATGATCATTATAATAACATATATGACAATATGATTCAATTAGTATTGCCAAATAATCTGGTATATTATATAGTTGGACCTCTATGTAATGGACTGATGGGAAAGAGATATTCAATATTGCAAAAAGTCCATTAAATTGAATAGTTTAAAAGCATATAGCATATATTAATAACAACATTTTAATATATCCTGTGAATTTTAAGTTTCTTTTAATGTATACATATGAATAAGGTGCAGTAATTTAAACTCATTGATCCATTTTTTAGCATGCTCTATTCACAAATAAAAAACAGTTCTAAATATTTTGGTTCATTAAATTAAATGTCTACTATATTTACTATGATAAACAGAAATTCAGCATTACATCATATTTTTAATTTTAATAGTTACTTACAGATTAATTTATGCAATTAAAGAATTAAAAATACGATTATAATAGAGTAAATAATCAATTATTTCAATATCATTACACAAAAATAAACCTAAATGCAACTTACTTTAAGATCATTGATTATCTCTTCTATTTTGTCTTCATCATAAACATCCCACTCTCTAGATAACTTCTGATAAAATAAAAATTAAAGATTTAATTTTCAATTAAACTAGTACTAATTCCTATTAATAACACAATTCTGACCTCTTCTACAACTTCTAAAAATGATGAAACTTGAGATATTTGTGCTTGATATTCATTCATTTCTGTTGCAACATGTTTTGAATTATTCAAACAATATTGAAGAGTATCGCTACAGTCTTGTAATAGTTTCTTATTATTATTGAAATAATGTATCTTAAATGCAGAATGATCAAAAATTTCTATTTCGGATAAATCTTTTTCTACTTTTTCCAAATCCGATACTTCATTCTGTTTCGTATTAATTTCTTCTGCTATATTCTGAGTAAATTATTATTTAAAAACATTAATTTTTATACATTAACTTATACATAAAAAGTTATTTTAGAATAACATTTTACCTGATATGATTCAACTGAATTTGGATCATTTTTTAATTGTAGTACGTGCTTCTTTGTATCCATAATCCAGTTTTTAAGAATTTCTGACTGCAAAACCAAAGACGCTAGTCTCGGTTGAAGCTGAACATATTGTTGCAATAATGCATTGCATGAATTTGTCAGCAGATTCCAACTAAAATATATAAGAATAAAATCTTCAGAATATAATTATTAACTACATTTTCTTAAGACCTAAATTAAGATGTTCCAACAACAACACATTTGAAATGAAGGGAAGAATTTGAATTAAAGCCAAAGCAGTTATTTTAAAAGTGTTAAAAATAGATATGCTACTGCAGTACCACGTATAAAAATTAAAAATTTTTCTACTTAAAAAGAAATTCAGCCATTATTTTTACAAATACAAATATAAAAATTTATTAATTTTTCTAAAACAATATGTGAAAGTTTTATTTAAATTATTAGGATTTCTAAGGAACAATTAAATAAATATATATTAATAATAATTTTAGCACATTATACTTCAAAGCATTTCTATTTTAAAGAAAATTTCAAATAAATGGATATTCTATCCATTTGTTAATGTTTATTTACTTTTCTCCAGTGTGAATTGTATAAAAAGGATGATTGTAAGTAAACAATATGGGGGAAAATTATCTATCAATTGTATTTCACAATTCTATAATGATGCAATGTTACATTTGACCACATGAATCTTTTAAATTTTAACTTTACAAAGTTGTAAAGTTAACATTAAAGTTTAAAAGAAAATGAATACTTAATTTTTTTTTACATAGTTTATAATGAAAAAAAAAAGAATTCTTCCTAAATGTATTTTTAAAATTAGATCACTCCTCATTGTTTTGCTATTTTTATTTATATGACTTCCATTTTGTAATTAATTAATAATACATCATTGAAAACACAAAACTATCAACCATATGAAAATTAGTTTGGATAAATGCATCAGAAATTATCAATAATCTTCATATATACTAGCTGTACATTGCCACGCATTGCTGTGGCTCAAAATGTATCTATTATAAAACACTCCCTGCAGGAGGGAATTTCAAAAAAAATCCCTTCTAAGTGTACATTCTCTTGATGTATCCTATTAAAATGCAATCAAAAATGCAAAAAACCACATCTAAATAGTATAATAGAAGCCAAGTTCTTCACAGTCAGCCTTAATCCTGTCCCTCTCACCTGTGGGGGATTTTGACATCTATATAATATACAAGTTCAGACATGTGCACTGTGTATCTCGCCGACCACACAACTGCGCCGCACAATTACCTATCTCATATATGTATGTGTCTTGCTCCTCACCACCCGCTGACACCAAAAATATAATGCTTATCTAGATGATATCTTTTAATTTATATGAATGTTTAAAGCAATAATATACAGCCTGTGCCCACCCTGAAGGTCCATTCTAAATAGTGGTGAAAGAATTTTTGAAATCAAATGAGTAGTTTCGGAGATTACCTCCTACACCCAAACTTACAAACTTTATCTCTTTATAATATTAGTGTATATATATATATGATTATTGTGTTATGGCTCTGTGATGTGTGTGTAATCATCTCTACAGACTCACAATGCAAGGAGTCTACAACTAAAAGCAATATTTAAGTTGGTAATAGTAGTAAAGCATATGTAAGATTTAATGTGAAAACTTCTGTAAAGAACACTTTATTTTGTACATTTTAGATTAGGTTTGTTACTGTAATAAAACTTTTAGTGTAGCTGACCAAATATTGATTATTTAGCTATATTTTATATCATCACTTTCAGTTTATGTTGTTTCTAGAGAAACATTTTGTTTATCCATTATCAAGTGACATTATGAACAACCTATTAGTCCCTTTAATCAAGATGCTAAATCACTTGAGTTGTTTCTGTAAAGTTGACAAAACCTGAAAACAAAAGGGACACAAAAACACTATAACAGAAATCATTCAGTCAAACAAAAATTGGTTGAAAACATGGCTTTAGAGTAATTGCTATAAACATTGCTATAAACAATTTTCTTTTGTCTAAACAATAAATCCTAAGCAGTGGCGTGTCATCATTGGAAGCGGTGGATATGCCGCTTCCCTTGTATTTTCTAAAAAATAAATACACATTAATTTTAATTATATGAAATAATTGCACAATATTTTATTATAACTGCATTATGTATCTTATTACATGTGGAAAAAAAGATAAGATTGCTATTGTATATTTGAATATTAGTGGCGGAGTGGAAGCGCTGTATTGTCAGCATCCAAAAAGCCAGATTCGTGCATGCACTTTACAGAGCACCAACCTCACTGGTTTAGCTGGTGGAAGCCTAGGACCTCGGGTGGATGCAACACGTATACCGCATCCAATTCTATCCAGGAATGATTCTAGGCTGTTAGTCACCTGCCCGCTAGATATTTGGCCGCCCTCGCTTGATTACACAAAATCACGAGTAGATTTATAACTTAACCCAACCAATAAGAATTTACTGGTATGTTTTTATGATAGTTCTGTATAGTTGATAGGAGTTTTTAAAAAATCCATTAAAATATTTGATATTTTTATTCTGCTCTCTGATTTAATAAATAAATTTAATAACTTTCAGGGACATTGAATTTCAAAAAGAAGTATGATCAAAGTAAAATATATCGCAAAGTATATATACAAACATCTCCAACCCGATATATAATTATAGCTACAACCAACAGACTGCCGAAAATCTATCGGGCTAGTTTTATGCTACTTATTAGATAAATTACGTAATCAATTTGGTACTAGAGGTAAGCGTTAGGCGCCATCTCTTATTAATATTAATAATTATAAATAATTTTAATTAATTTAAATAATTTGGAACCGCTGGGAGAAAAAATCGGCCCGAAGCGGGACTCGAACCCACAACTCCTGCTTACCGTGCAGATGCGTTGCCAGTTACGCTACCCGGACCTCC